GGCAAGGTGTTGGTGCTCACAAAAATGTTTTAAAAATTAAACTGGGATAACAGAAGGAAGGTGGTCAGGTGGTGGTATTCTCATTTTATTTGGAGAGAGAGATTGAGAGAAACAGATGAAGGTTAAATAGTGTGTCCCAAGTCTTAATTAGTGGTTAGAACCAAGATTAGGTCCCAGAATTACTGGTTTTTAATCCATCATCATTTTTTTGCTACAGCATTCTGCAAGGAATTAGTTAACAAAATGTATCATAGGCTATTATGTACACAGTGGTGTGTTGGGTTTCTTGAAAGGGTATAGAAATGTAAGTTAGCGTTTCTCTCCTTCAGGAGATGACGAAAATTAGAATTTAACTATATCTACACTGTTAAATAATGATACAAAATAGTATTTCCCCAATAAACATTATAGCCTTTGAAAGCTTTGGAGATTAAGAAAGGAGACATCAGCGTGGTCTAGAGTAGTTTGTTGAAGACTTCAGAAAGAGGGCTGAGCTCGAGCTGAAGTTTGAAGCTTCAGTTTAGAGAGAAACGGGAAGGTCATTTCAGGTGGAAAACATAAAATTGGAAAAAGTATAGAAGAGGGAATAACCTATACTCTTGCTACAGAAAGTGTGGCCCAGACCACAGCATTCACCTCACTGGAGCTTGTTAGAAGTGCAGAATCTCAGGTCCTACCCCAGCCAAAGGAATCACACTCTGCACGTTAACGTTTGGGAAGCATAGATGTATACTGTTTGTATGGTGCTGTACAATTTACTGTTGGCTAGAGAAACATCCCATCTGACCCTCAGAATAGGTTAGTTAGATATGAATGAATTAGATGAAGATGTACTACTAGTGTCCAGTCTTACTGAAGAAAACATGAAGTTTAGAGAGGTTTTGATTTGCCAAAAGTTTCCTAGAGATGAGGTTCAGACTCAGGTGTACAGATTCCATATGCTTTTCGAACTGCACAATGAAAAGTCATGTTTGGGGAATTGGATGGGCTAGTACAGAAAGCTCGAATGGGGATTAGGTAGCGATTGGGCCGTGCGGTAGGGATCTGGCATGCTAGGACATTTATCATGTATCCATTAATATGTTTTGACCAGAAGAGTTTCATGAGGAGTGTCTCAGGTAGACTGATCTGATGACATGTGGATGGGTTAGAGTAGGGGAAGAAGCAGGACTTAGAGACACCAGTTATTCAGGACATAATAATTAAATTTTTTAAACACAAAAAATAGGTAGTATCAGTAAGTCACCCAATAGATATTTATTGAATACCCACTTTGTGCTGGGCACTGGGCATTTAGTCCTGCCTTCATCATATGGTCTTGCTCGTATAATGCTTTTGGTTGAGTCACTTAGATAACTGAGTACTAAGTGCATAAAAGACTAACAGTGATGACAACAATAAAGTCATCTTCCATTTTTTTCTGTGAAAAAAAGCTCTGGCCCCAAAGTTAGGTGTCTCCCAGTCTTATCCTGGTTTTGCTCTTAGTGTTGAACAATTCACTTAATCACTCTGTAGCTCATTTTTCCTACTTAGCATCAACATCATACTTACTATGACTTCACGGCATAAGATGTTGTGATGAGATAATTTATGGGAGATTTTTGGTTTCCTGAGTATAAAAGCTTATAATGCTGTTAGTATAAAATTACTTTTAAAACCTTTTCTTTTTGAAACTTTTAAAATTTCAATCCCTTAGTGCATTTTAGTCACTTTTCTAATTATAATTACATTGAAAGGGGGAAAAAATCCAGCCATCTGTGGCACTTGTTCTCCTTCCCTGGAGGTAGCACTAGAGAAGATAATGATTTATTTGAGATGTTGTTAGTCCTGCTCTGAAGGAGAATGGATGGTGGTTTTCATTGTGGCTTTAAGGCCCATCTGCTGATGGGTGCGATTCATTAGACAAGAATATGTGGGTGAATGTGTGCTTGGGAGGTGTAGAGTAATAGCAGAGAGAAGAAGGAGAGAATATTTGGGAGAAAGAAGCAGGATGTGAGTTCTGTGACATTGCTACCCCTATATTCCACGTGTAGGTGGTGCATCCCCATGACTAGATAAGGGCTAAACCATCTTTGACTTCATGTGACCCATGTATGTGTCTCTGATGTAGAGGACCTAACATTAATCGGTATGTAGAGTATCAACATCACCTCTTTTACCTAATCCTCATGGTGCCTGTTTCCTAGCATTTATCACACAGTATCATAGCTGCCTGCCTGCTCTGTCTCCCTTACCTTTAGCAAAACCAAGCCTGAGCATGTGTGTCAGAGAAGACAAAGGCTGACACTGTTTCATGGAGGCTGGCACTGCATAGAAGAGCTGCATGTTTCCGACCCTTCTGGTGACATAAAGCCATGGTCCTCTATGTTCGGTTGAGGTCCCTGGGGGGGTGTGTGTGTGTGTGTGTGCGTGTGCACGTGCATGGGGTGGGCAATGGAAATGTTGTGAGGGGTGGGAGGAGGGCAGAGAAGAAGAGAAAGGTAGAAAGTGCTTCTCCAGCCTGCAAATTGCTGGGGCTAACACTGATTAATACAGATACTACTGATGAACTAGGTTTCCTTGCTCCCTACTTTGTGAATAAGTGTACATATCAGCACCACCTCTTTGTGTTTGAACTGCTTTCTGCACGTTATAGTTTCTGCTAAGAATGGTAGCCTCCGCAATGAAACATTCCTCAGATTAGAGAACACTTTGGAGCATTTCCTCTTTTACCTATCACATTGCTCATCCTAGAACAATCCAGATAAAAATATAGTGTGTTAATATATTTTCAACAAGCACTTAGTCTGGCACAAAGCGTTAGTGTTTGCTGTTATTATTAGCATTCCATCCTGGTCATTTATTCATTCGTTCACTTGTTGAGTGTGTGATATCATATATCTAGGCCCTGAGTTATTTGCCTTGGAAGCACAGAAGTGAATCAGACATAGATTCTGCCCTCAGTGGGAGTACCTTCCAATACGAAAAATAAGACAAGCAAATACGTAGATAAAATGCAGTGAAGAAACTGATACTGGCTCTAAGAAAGGTCTAGATAGAGCTTTTGGAGGGTTAGCAGAAGCAGAAAAGGGCTTCTGGAGAGTTGGAGAGGAAGGCAAGATGGGAGGAGGTGGCATCTGAGTCGCATCTTGGAAGATAAGAAAGGTTCAGACATTCATAGCAGGAGAAAGGGCTTTCCCCGTGAAGTAAATGGTAGGAACAAAAGCAGAAAAGAGCATATTTAGAAAATATAACTAGTTTGCTTTGCTGGATTGAAGGCTGTGCATTTACCAGAACGTGTTTTTTGTTTTTGTCATCTCCTGAGTTCCCTTGCCCCATTTTTTTTCATTTCTTTACCCATGAATTAAATTTCAGCAGATTCTAATCAGGAGGGGCGGTTACTAAAACGGGCACAAGAGGCTTTGTAATTATAGCTGCTGCTAAATGTGTAATCTATCTGTTCTTGTAATTATTAAGGTTTTTATTTTTATAAGCTGATTGCCTCCTGTTCTAAAACTTCCTTAATAGTATGCAAATAGGGGCCAGGAAGCAATGTAAATCTAGAAGCATGTTTTCCTTTGCCTTTTACAATAAATTATCCCTACAGACTGACCTGTGGCAGCTTTGTACATCTCAAGAGGCCCACAGTCATTCGACTCAAAATGGATTGGGGCTGCCTTATATCCTCGCAGCCTTACTGAGAGTGGAAAAATCACATCTTGGGTTTTACATTAGCTTTCTGTTATGACACACACAATGTCATGACTTCTTTTCTCTTTCCTTGACAGTAATTCCATCATCTACTTGTGATAAATTACTCTGCCTTTGGTGCTTTAGCTTATCCACTTAACAACTGAATATGCCCCTACAGAATGGTGTGGAAGGAGCTGGGAGGCCACTGAGGAATGGCGATATAGCTGTTGGCAAGTCTCTCCACCTTTTTGTGCCTCAGTCAACACATCCATCCAGTGGGGGTGTTACTACATGCTGTAGAGAAATCATGCACTTTTTTTTAACACTTTTTATTTTTTAAACACTTACTCTGCTTCAAGGTATTTTAAGACAAGTTCTAAGTTAATAGGAATAGTTTCTTAAAATAAGATTGTTTCACTATGGAGTAGACTAATTCTATATTTTCTTAATATATTTTAAACTTGAAATAATCATCCAACAATGAGAGCTAATATAAATGGAAATCCATAGCATAAAAAGGCTGCATCGGGCTCAGTAGCTTATAAACCCAATTGTGAATAGCTCTAAAGCCTGGAATAGTCAGTGACAAATGGCGTATGTGCGCAATAAATATTTCTTGAATGAATGAATGAAATATTTTTTTCTTTGAGTGGACAGCTATGTTTAGATTAAACAATGATTACAGCTAAAGGTTATAAAGTGAATATCTATACCTGGGATTTTGAATTTCTTTGAATCTTGTTGTAAGTTGTAGACGATATTTTAAAATAGTACCTGCTCAAATACCTATTATGCTTACCTGCTTTAATAAAGTTCTCTCTTTATCTCTCTCTTTTTATATGTAGAGAGAGCATATATATATGTGCTGTTTTCTGAGACATTTAACTATGCCATAAAAAGTCTTCTTGTTTAGGTCATGAATACAAGGCCAAGATATTCCTGTTCCCTGGTGACTGCTTATCTGAACTGAGGGTTCAGAATTGAGGAGAAAATAGCTGGAATGTTAATCTTTAAATCAGAGCCAGTAATGTGCCGGCACCCCCTGCCCACCCAGTGTTGGACCATCTATGAACAGTGTCCTCAGCATCTGATGTATCTCAAATGTAGAAGGAAAACCCTTGGAAAAAGTATAAGGTGCTCTAGAAGTGGGATTTCTGACGGCTCCTTTAGTATTAGATCATGAAACTTCCTTTTAACGTTTTCCTGCTTTCTGACGTGTCTCGTTTCTGTAGCTCAAAAAACACAAAAGCAAGAAACTGATCTTTCAAAGTTTGTAAGAGTACTAATTGCGTTTCTAACCTAGATGGTTTTGTGTGTTTGCCTTTCAGCTCTACGTGGCCACTGAGGCCATCCTCATTGCACTGGTCGGGGCTACGCCGTCGTACCACTGGGACCTGGCAGAGCTCCTGCCGAATCAGAGCCACGGCAACCAGTCGGCTGGGGAAGACCAGGCCCTCAGGGACTGGCTGCTGACGGCCAACGGCAGCGAGATCCGTAAGCACGTGCACTTCAGCAGCAGCTTCACCTCCATCGCCTCTGAGGTAACGCCAGGAGTAGTGAGCAGTGGGACAAAGACCAGGCCTTCGGTCACTGAACGAACGTTTCTCCTTGTTCAAGTGCAGCCACTTTTCCATCTTGTTGATTTAAATGTCACCGCACTTCAAATAACTTTCCAGTAAATGTAAGAGTTAAAGGAGAATATGCTATGAAAACACATCCTTTTTCCTTCTTACTACAAATGGGAGAAGCATGAATTTTACCAACTGGTTAGATGCAATAAGATATTAACCCCAGAGGAGCTGCATTTTGGTTATAGTGTCCTTTTAAAAAGTCAATTAAAACTTTCATATCTTTTCCTTACATCACAGAAATTAACAAAGTAAAGAGAGAGACATATAATGACCCATCTATAACACCTACAGTTCATGTTGAAGTCCAGTCCTCTGTGTAGACCACACGGGGCACCTTGACTGTACAACATAAAATGCAAATACCTAGTGTGGCATGAAGCCTTGCTTTCAAGGAGGCTTTGCTGGCCAAGAAGGTTCTGGTAAGGACGAAACCTTCTGAGCCAGCCAGAGGTAAACAAGCTGAGGATAGAGTCTGGTGAACAGAAGCCCAGGGATCAGCTCATGCTCAGCTGGAAAGCACATGTACTGGTTCTTAAAATGTTGAAATACTCTGTGCCCTTTGCCTGCTCCCTGCAAGCTATCCATTTGTCCACTGCCACCCTGGCCCAGCCCTTGGACTCTGCAACCCAGTGACTATAGGGTTAACGCTTGGTGCAGCAGAGGGCCTCCAGGACCCTTTCCAGCTCTCAGTTCTGACTGCCATGCTAGTCAGCTCCCCTAAAATCTATTTGGCTGCTCCTCTGCAGGGACACCAGAGTGCCTGCCAGATGCCCTGCCTACATTTCCAGTCCACCCTTCTCCCCGTGTGTGTGTGTGTGTGTGTGCGTGTATGTGTGTGTGTCTGTGTGTATGTGCACCATGGCATCAGTCAGCCTTTCCTGTTGTTGACTGTTTTGATTCTCAGCCTTGGGGTGGAGCATACTAAAAATAGGAGAGACATGCTGAAGGCAGTATTTGCTTGGCCTTTCCTTAGGAGGTTCCCATTTGAAGGAATAATTACTGGTTTAACTTTTCGAGCTGTTGCCTAAGTGGTGTTGCTATGATAACAGTCGAGTCACGTCACCCCTCACTCAAAAACCTCCAGTGATTCTCCCACCACACACAGAAAACAGTAAAGCCCTACACTCAGGGCCCTTCACCTTCCACAGCTTGGTCCTGGGTGTACTTTTCCAGCCCCATTCTGCACTTCCCTCTGCCTCCCCTGTTTCCCACACATGCCCTGAGCCCTCAGGGTGCACCTGTTACCTGGGTCGGGAATGCCCTAACCACTCACCCTCATGTCTACCTGGTGAAATCCTAACCTACCCTCTACTGCTCACTGACTGTCACCTTCCCTGTGAAGTCTTTCCCAGCTCACTTCCCAGAAGAAGTAAATACACTTTGTTTCCACTCCAATAACACTTTGTTTGCACTTACGGTACACACTGTAGTTTGTGGTTCAACTCCATTTTTTTTACGTCCTTTGAGGTCAGAAACCATATGTTGGTCATCTTTGCATCTCCATGGCCTACTAGCAATAACAACAATAACTACCATCACTACAAGTAACCAACACTACCAACCTATTAAAATATCAAGTAGCATTGTATAATGATGACTATATACCAGCCATTGTATAATTTACAACCCTTATCTCATGTAACCCTCACAATAATTTTATGAGGTAAGCATTATTTTCCCCATTTTTACAGATGAAAAAATTGAAATTTCTTGAGGTCAGTGTTAGCTAATAAGGGCAGAGCTAGGATTTGAACCCAAATTTGTCTTAGAAGCCTGTGCTCTGAATTATTGTACTTTTTAGGAACCTATCCAATCCAAATTGGTATGCACATCCCTCAGTTCTTTTTGATAGGTAATAGTAACCAACAACTTAAAAAAATTTTTATTTGGAAATAATTTCAAACTGACAGAAATTTCAAGAATAATACAAAGAATACTCTTATATCCTTTAGTTTCAACTATTGTTAATATTGTATCTCATTGGCATTACTGTCTTTCTCTTAATTTTTTTCCTAAGCCGTTTGAAAGTTACATATACCGGTGTTCTTTTACACCCAAATCCTTCAGTGTGTATTTCCTGAAAATAAGGATGTTCTCTTACATAACTACAGTACAGTTATCGACTGCAAGAAATTTAACATTGATACTATAGTTTAATCTACCATGGTACCCAATTTTGTCACTTGACCCAATGATGTCCTTGATACCATTGGTGTCCCCGCTTGTATTGAATTCATTTTAGGATCACATATTACATTTAGTTGTCATGACTCTTTAGTGTCTTTTCACCTTCAGCCTTTCTTTTTTTTTATGACATTGATACTTTTGAAGAATACATACTCCCTTGCTTTTTTAAGATAAGACTATTCTTCATTTTGGGTCTGTCTGACGATTCCTCATTCAGGTTGTGCATCCACAGTCAGGACAGTAGATAAGAAATGTTGTGTCCTTCTCAGGGGATCACATCTAGAGACACATAATATCCATCTGCCCCTTTTTGGTGATGTTAATTTTGATCATCCAATCCAGGTATTGCCTGATTTCTTCCCTGTACAGTTATTATTTTTTTCATTTCAAGGAATAGATAATCTATGAGGGATCACTGAAGATTATGCAAATTTACTATTCCTCATCAGAACAGCCCCCCCCCCCACCAATTTAGCATCCTTTGATGATTCTTTTGTAAACTAAGCTATAACTATGATGCTTGCAAAATGATTTAACGCTAGCACTTCCTCCATATTTGCCAGTTGGCATTCTGCTTTCCTTTTTTTTCTATTGAAGTATAATGGACATGTAACATTATATTAGTTTCAGGTGTACAACATAATGATTTTATTTTTATATACATTGCTAAATGATAACCACAATAAGTCTAGTTAACATCCATCGCCATACACAGTGACAAAAACTTTTTTTTCTTGTGTAAGAACTTTTAAGATCTGCTCTCTTAGCAACTTGCAAATATGCAATACAGTATTATTAACTATAGTCACCATTACGTCCCCAGGACTTATATATCTTATGACTGGAAGTTTGTACCTTTTGACCCCCTATGCCCATTTCACCTACCTCCCCTTCCCCCCGCCTCTGGCAACCACAATATCTGTTTTCTATATCTATGACCTTGGTTTTTTTTTGTTGTTGTTGTTTTTTAGATTCCATGGCATTCTGCTTTCTGCTATAAGCAAAAGCCCTTTCATCTGCCTTGTCTTTCTGTCTGCCTGCCTACCTGCCATCTCTCTGTCTATCTATTTACCTACCTACCTATATATCTATCATTAGTATGTACTGGTGGATTCCTATTCTTTTCAATTACTTACAATTTGTTACAGAGTTTAATTATTTTGGTGCTCAAATTATCCCCAATTTAGCAGTGGGAACCTCCTCAAGCTGGCTCTTGTGTCCTTTTTTTTTTTTAATTAAAGATTTTATTTTGAGGTAATTGTAGATTTACATGCAGTTGCAAGAAATAATATTGAGAAATTCCATGAACCCTTTACTCAGTTTCTCCCAATGGTAGCATCTTGCAAAAATACAGTATAATATCACAGCCGTGATAATGACTTTGATATGGCTAAGACACAGAACATTTCCATCACCACAAGGGTCCCTCATGTTACCCTTTTATAGCCACACCACCCCCCCTCCTTCCTCAACCGTGTCCAAAATACCTGGAAACACTAATCTGCTCTCCTATACTTTAATTTTGTCATTTTAAGAATGTTATAAAAATGGAATCATATTCATTGTAACCTTTTGGGATAGGCTTTTTTGACTCAGCCATAATTCTCTGCAGATTCCTCTAGGTTTAGTTATATTACTTAGTTATATAAGAAGTCCTGGAATTGGGTAGATTGATTTCTCTCACTTTATTCTTTGTCAAAATTGTTTTAGCTATCTTAGTTCCTTCGGCTTTCCATATAAATTTTATAATAATTTTTTCTCTATGTACAAAAAACATTTTTGAGATTTTGATAGGAGTTGCATTAAACCTGTATATCGATTTGAGGATAATGGACATCTTTACTCTGTTATATCTTCCGACACGAACACTCTATGTGTTATTTAGAGATTCGATTCCAGGGTTTTGTAGTCTTTAGCATACAAGTTCTGTATCTGTTGTGTTAGATTTACACCTAAATATTTTATTTTTTTGAGTGATTGTAAATGGTATTATATTTTAAATTTTCATGTCCTTATGTTCATTGCTAGTATATAGAAATACAATTGATTTTTACATTTTAATCTTGTAGCCTGTGACCTTGTTGAACTCACTTATTAATTCTAGGAATTTTTTGAAGATTCTTTGGGATTTTCTAGATAATTGTGTCAACAATAGAGACAGTTTTATTTCTCCCTTTCCAATCCATATGCCTTTTATTTCGTTTTGTTGCCATATTGCTCCAGCTAGAACTTCCAGCACTATATTGAATAGATGGTGAGAACTGACATCCATGCCTCGTTCCCAGTCATGGGGGAAAGCTTCAGTCTTCAACATTAAGTATCATGTTAGCTGTAGGTTTTTGTAGATATTCTTTATTAAGTTGAGGAAGTCCACCTATTCCAATTTTTTTTTTAGTTTTTATCGTGAATATGTATTGAATTTTGTCAAATATATCAATTTGCAGTTTTCTACATTAATTGCAATGATCATGTGATTTTTCTTCTTTACCTTCTAATATGGTGGATCACACTGATTGATTTTGAAATATTAAACCAGCCTTGCATCTCTGGATGGCATATAATTCTTTTTATATATTGCTGAATTCTATTTGTTAATATTTTGTTAAGTATTTTTGCTTCTATATTCGTGAGAGATATTGGTCTATAGTTTTTTTTGTACTTTGTCTGGTTTTGGTATCAGGGTAATACTAGCTTCATAAAATGAGTTAAGAGGTGTTCCCTTC